CACACAAAAAAAAAAAAGTACTAATAATAAAATCTTGGGAAAATGCTACAGTCCCCCGTTACAGAACCACTTGTCGTCGGGATTTGTAATCGTTAGATCACCATGTAAGTCTAACTGTTACAAACTCCGACAAAATGGTTCCGTAACGGAACCGTAAAATCTCCCAAAACCTTAATACTATGGACGCCTATATATATATATATGTATACAGATACAGATAAATCCTACTTAACACTCATAAAACCCAACTTTAACCCCCATTAGCCGACATCATCTCGCTAACACTCGCCAACGACTTGAGATTAAACCCAATCATCGTATTAACAAAGTAACACGTGTCCTCCTTCGTATTCCCTTCCGGCACATCCACAACGTACGACTCAACCACCGTCGTGCCCCCTCTGCCGCCCTCCGTCTCGTGAACCGTGGTGGTCGACCGGTAATTATTGAGCCTCTGATCGCCGTCGATTGTCGTGTACACCATCACATGAGCCTCGTCGTCCAGCTTGTCGAGCCGCTCACGGCTCACCGTCCCCGGAATTCCGGTGACCAGCGCCACCTCACGCACGCTACCAACGCCGCCGGTCCCGGCCAGCATGGTGCAGTCTCTTATGAATTGCTTGTATGCCTGTGGACGGTCAAACCGCCGAATCATTGACCAGACCAGAGGAAGCGGCGCGTTGACTTTCTGAACCACGGTTGAGGTGCACTGGTTAGGTTTGGGGCTGTGTTGGTGGTAAACAGAGTACATTTTTTTTTCTTTTTAATTTTAGTTTTGTTGCAACCTTTGATTGGAATTTGGAAATGTATGTCTGATTTGTTATATAGTAGCTGTGGATATATATATCATATATGTGTGTGTGTGATAATTAATTTTATCTGGATTTATCTGCAAATTGGAATCCAAATTAATTAATTATATTATTATTATTGTTATTTAAAAAATTAAAAATTGGGGAACATTGGATTTGGGGAGTTGCAGGCAGGGGACCGGAGCGGAAATTATCTTGTGGATTTTTAAACCTCATGTCGTTTAAGTAAGGTGTTGGATTCGAGTACTTATGAATGCAGAAAACTCTTTATAAGAAACTCGCTCACTATTGTCAGGTATGCAAGTTGAGTCGATCAATGAAGTACTTGTGAATGCAAAAAACTCTTCTTAATAAAAGTTAGGTATGCAACGCGAGTTGATCAAGAGATTAATTGAGGCAAATTTATCAATAGCATGAATTGCTACCCAAAAAAAAAAAATATATATGAAATTCTCGTCGTGTAGTGGGGCAAGTGGGGGTTCTTATTTCAAAGCCTTGGCTTTGGGAAGTGCTAAAAATTGAAATAAAATATAGGGCTTTTATTTTGATGATGATCCGGAAAAAAAATGAAATTAAATAAATAAATAAAACAAACAAACAAACAAAATTTACTTGGGATTGAAAAGAGTTGGGTGTCATGTGTAATATTTTGGTTTTTATTGAATAGGGAAATGATGGGTACTTGAGCATTTTTATTCAAGTTGCTAGAGTTTAGGGTTTTTATATGCTTGTACCTGTCGTATTCATTCTTATTTATTATACGGTGTCGTTTTGTGGGGCGTGCTCGATTTTCGGATTTTTTGTGAAGGCGGTGATGTTAGAAGCTGATAGAAATGAAGTGGGGAGGTTTTATTGTACTACCTCTTTTTTTAAATAAATGTCGTTTTGATTTTTTTGATTCATCCATTTTGCTATGTATCTAGACATATTAATGTCTAGATACATAGCAAAATGGATGAATCAAAAAAGGCAAAACGACATTTATTTAAAAAAAGAGGGAGTACTTATTATTTATTATGGATTTTATGTTTCTTTTGTTTTTAAATTTGTTATTTTTATTTTTATGTTTTCCTACGTGGAGTAGTTTAATTTGGTCTTCAGAGTTTTTGTATGGTTTTTCATGTTTCCTTTGTGGAATGAGAATTATTATGTTAGTGACTTCTTTTCGTTCGTTTCATTCTGTCTCTTACGGTTAAAATGTGTTTGTAGTATTTTTGGGCAATTGGTAACCGAATTACCCGGACTCGGGTCGTTCTCAAAGGAAGGTTGTTCGGAGTTTCGTTCACTATCTAGTCGTCAAATTCACATAACCGAAAATAAGGTCCTATACATTCTACTCGTTTGATGGGGATTGATTTCACATGAAATTAAATTAACAATCTAGAGCAAATGAAAGCAAATGATGCAAGATGAAAACTTTAGGTCAACCGGAGTCTATATCACTCGAATAGACGCGACGAACAAAGCAACATCATAGTAGCCATGTGATCCTAGGTGATTAAATCGAGCTTTCTAACTAATGACTACGCTTAAAACCAAGTCGTGCCCTTTACACAAGATAAGCATGAACTAACCCCTAACACACCATGACGAGCAACAAAAATCAAACACTCCTCCATTCAACAAGTAACACCAAATACACATTGACACACATCATAAGCAAAAATGGGCAAAATCGAAGTAATGAGGATTAAAGCTAATTACCCACTCTCCTAATGCATGCGTGAAGAACACCGGATGGAAAAATTTGAATCTTGAAGTAAAATGATGTCGCCGGAAACTTGCCGGAAAATACGAGTAATAAAGCTCCTAACCAAAGCATAAAAACAAAATAGAGAAAATGGAGAGGATTTCCCAACTTAAAAGTTGGGAAATGAGGGTTGTGTCCCAAAATACAAAGCATAATGTCTATTTATATCTACACCACAAATACACACTAGAAACACACGCATTTAATGAAATTCTGTAGTTCGCAGGTCTCGAAACGGAATTCGCAGCGAGTTTGGGCATGGAATAGTGATGGAATGGGTATTTCGCGGGTCGCGAAAGTAGTTTCGCAGCGTGGGCTTTGGGTGCCTTGGGTACGCGTTTCGCAGCTCGCGAAGCCTGGTTCGCTGGCGAGTGTAAGCATAGTGTGCTAGGGAGATGCGTTTGGCAGCACGCGAACGCGGGTTCGCTGCGAGTTCGGCATTTGGTGGCTGTGGAGTGGCATTTGGCGGGGCGCGAAACAACTTCCGCAGCGAGTGCGCGCCTCTCTTGCGCGTGGTGCCTTCTCGCGGGGCGCCAAATCACGTTCGCAGCGAGTCCGCGAGTCCTGGGGTGGTTGTTTGGCGCGGCGCGAAAGACAATTCGCCGCGAGTTCTTGGTTGTGAGTTTGTTGTCCTCGGGCTAGCCTTGTGTCTCGAAAATTACTCGGATGACTCGAAATTGTCTCGGAGAATAGTTCATCTTCCCAATCGTTCAAGTTAGATCTAAAGAGCACACCAAAAGAAACGCGAAAAATACGACAAAATACAAGAACACATAACGAAGACAAAAACACATAAAACACGACAAAATGGACCGATTGACTCAAAACCGAACCTAAAAATGACTCGACTAACTACATAAAACACAAGAAAATAAGCACAAAAACATAACAAACAACTTCCCCACACTTAACTCTTTGCTTGTTCCTCAAGCAAACAAAACAACAAGTACCTCGAAAAGAAAAATCGAGAAGTCCAAAATTAACGAGCATGCGAAATAAAACTCTCATTATCATCCGGTTATTCCCAAAATCAAAATCCAATCCGAAAACACGGTTCCCACAAGTGAATCCAAACAAAACAAAAATCCGTCTCAAGTCATTCTACACATAATAACACGAGACAAAACTCCCTTATTCTACATGAACGTGCAAAAACTACAAATGGTCCACTAAACATGTAACATAATAACCATGAACCAATAAGCCAACTCCCATTCTTTTTTTTTTCTTTTTCTTTTTATATATATATTTTTTTATTTAATGAGCTACTTTTTTCAAATGAAAGCCGTTAAGACGATTATTACCTAGGTTTAACCTCGGGGTTTGTCCCCGAGTTTCCTAGGCCGGTTTCCCGTGCTTATTGACCCGATCTATCTAGAAGATTAACCGAGCCAAGAGGAGCCTAAACCATTCGACTCCCAAGAACTCATTTTCGTGACCATCTTTTTTCAAACGAGGTTTCCGGATGAGATGATCTTTGTTTAACCTCGAGGGGTTTCCTCGAATTTCCTAAACCGGTTTCCCAGGCTCATTATCCCAATTTACGAAGTGGCTCGGAATAGGAGGAGCCTAATCCGTACTTTCTCGCGAACTCACATTTTATTCTCTTTTTTATTTTTTATTTTTATTTTTTTTAGGGAGAGACACACAAGGATACATCACAATTACAATAACATAATCATCTCAACTCAATCGAAATGTACCACAAGTGTATAGATAACACGTTTACAACGATAATCGAACATAAAGAAAGCATGCCTCAAGACAATCAATCGAGAACAAACAAGGGACAAAACAATTTCATGAATCCATATGCGGGTTCCAATGTCAACGAATCATCAATTAATTTAAGAAAACCGTCAAATTCATCAAGTACATCAAGCATGAACGCTAATAGTGAAACCAATCAATAATCTCGACTCACCACTTAGCTATCTCGACTCTCGAACAAACATCAAGTTTCATGCGGGAGAGATGACACAAACACACATAAACTCGAACAAAACCGGTCCAAGATACAACAAATACGAAAAATAAAGCACCGAAAAGGAAACAAATATCACCCTGATATAGCCACGGGTAGTACTGCCGGCTCGACCGATAGTATCTGATATAGCATGTCGTACCCGACCGGTTTTTATGGATATATGTAACACCCCGCTTATCAAAGTAAATTTTTCGCAATCTTTTTAACTCGGGATGCTACTAAAACTTAATTTCTTTAAAATTTGTTTCCTTAAGCTTGATCTAACAATTGAGTTAGACATAAGTAAAACAAATTCAATATCGAACAAGTATGGAAAACTAAACTTGTTTATAATGACAATTCGCAATTTATTTAAATATAAAACTTAAATTTCAAATCACACATGTTCAAATCTTAAAAGAAAAACGTAGCGGAATATCTTACAAGCATGGCATAAAAACTGAAACCTTTATTTAAAAATCCATAATAGCAAATGAATCAAAATCACGACCGATACCACCACAACTTGTCTCGCACCTGCGCACCGACCCTGTTTCCTGAAAATGATAATAGTGGGACGTGATTACTAATCCACTGTACTCCGTAAAAACTCATACTAAAGTAAACAGTAAGAATAATATCAATATCATAATTCTCGGTATGTAACTTGAACTTGAACTTTGCTTTGCAACTACCGTACTGCCGATTCTCACGTGATCACATTTTGGGGGTCGGCTCCCCAAAACTCAGTCTTGACTGAGCGAGTCTAATCTGAACTTAGGATGTCTAATAAAGGACTATGTCCTCCACCCCAAGTACTTAAGATGTCTAATAAAGGACTAAGTCCTCCACCCCAAGTAATAACTTAAATACATACCTTGAATATGATAATAGCTATTATACTCAATATAATACCCAGGCTGGGTTCCCACCTTTCTTCTCGAAAAGTATTGAAAAATTGTAAGTGTTGCTCTTGGTAGCCGAACTTCTCACGCTACATAAAAATATAAACAAATATACTGAGTACTATGCTCGAATACTCAATAAGATATTGAAATTCTTAACTTTAACTGATAACTTTTAACTTATCCGAATCTAGCCAAAATGCTATAGCTCAAATAATCATAATACTTTTAATAACTCAAACTCTTAATAAATCATCATTTGATGCCAAAAATTTATATAAATCATGCTTTCTAAATAACAGTTTATAAACTTGCAAG